ATCATCATCATCATCCGGTGCCTTGCCGACTGACGTGAGCTATCATGGACCTCCACTTCACTCTGTCTTGCGTTGCAGCGATGGTGTCTGTTCCCAGCCACGTTGTCAACTTGTCCAGTATCTTTTCCCTCAACTCTGTCTGCCTCTGCCTTTCTTTCCATAAAACTTGCCTATTGTTACAATGTTCTTCAATGCTTCTTTCCGCATTGTGTGTCCAATGAAATTTGCCTGTCGCTTTCGTGAACTCGTGATAAGCTGCCGTCTGCAATTTACTTCAACCAAGACTTCTTCATTTGTTTTTTCTAGCTGTCCGTGGTATACGCAGCGTGCGTCTTATGAACCACAACTCTGTCTCCTCAATTGTTCTTTCCAGCTGTCCATGCTTAGCACCCGAATAATAGAATTGGCTCAATGTAAATTTTCAGTACTCCTTTTCATGTTTCCAGTGAGTGACAGATTGATGTTTGTAAGTACCTGTTTCATTTTGTGGATGGTTGCTTTTGCTTGGCAATTAATGCAGCTTTTAATTTCGTGTGGCATCTCCCATCTGATGATGTAATGGTCCCCAAGTATTTAAAATGTATCTGCTTTTGAGTGGTGGTATTGATTTTGATATTGCAGTTTGTGGTTGGAGTTGTTTAAGTTTTCTTGATGTTTTCATAATCGCTAGGCGGAGATAACATGGATCAGAGTATGGCATTGTGTTCATGATTCCCCGATCGTCTTGAAACGCGTGAACATTTCCTCGATGACATTTGGTTCAACACAAAGCCCATTTTCACTTTTCAAGATATGTAAACTAAAAAAATAAATTAATGCTGTCTATTGGGCACCCCACTCCCTATTTTCCCTAGAAGCCATTCCATTCTGAATATGTACAGTGGCATGGTTTTAGTGGGTCATTGAACATGAGTCCAAAGGAAGGCACGTACAGCACTGCTTCTAGGAATTCCAGAATAAAAACAGTTTTTGCTTTAGCTCTGTATAAAGAAATGAGATATTGAGCCAGCCAAACGTTTTAAGACTTTCTTTACGAGATTTAAAAACAATGGTGCGCTTTGCATTTCTGGGTGCATTTTCCGTTTTCAAAATAGGTTACTTCTTCACTAATTTTTTTGTCAAACAAATTCCTTTTGAATGAATCATGTGTGTTACAAATTAAAACATTTTAGTACAATTTTTAAGCGAGTTATTCAGAAAAAAGGTTGTTATGTGTTTTTTTAAAGATCACCGTGTACAATATATATAT